CAGTCACAATGAGTTCATTTTAAAAAAAATAGCAAGAAATTTTCTATTTGCCCTCGTAAGGTGTAGTTCGGTAGTCCAGCATTTTTCTTGACCGTTAGACAAAAAGACAGTTAGTGCAACACTCTTTAGTAAGGAACATTGGTTAGAAAAAAATGTTAGAAAAAACTAAGATTTTTATTTACATTTTTTGTTCTCTTGTAAGCCGCCTGTTATTTTCTTCCAAATTGAATGTAATTTAGCTAAAGCTGTTTTTATGGGCTCTATTTGACACCACTTTCACTTTAAAATAAGGCATTGATGCTCCCATACGGCTAGCTATTTAGCATATTTACTACTGAAAAATTAGCATATTTGTAGTAGAATGTGGATATGGCAAGCGTCTTAGAGATTTATTAGAACTTAAGGGTTTTATTTGTGATCTCTAGCTTAGAAGTCCATATACATGCTATTTAGCATGATGAAACATCAAGATTAGGGACGTGTATTTTCACCTAAAATTGGTAGAGAAAATAGAAAATCATGTGTCAAACATTCTGTGTATAGTAAATTTATGTGTGTATCACACAAAGAAACAAATACTATTGGTCATCTAGCCAATGTCACGCACACATACAAGTGACCTTAGAGCCAATAAATCTTAACACAAAAATAAAAAATGTGCTTCAGCATATTATACTTGACAAATTAAGCAACAATGGTTTATCTTGGCAAACTGTTGCTGCTTAATTTGTCAAGTATAATACGTTGAAGCACATGGGTTTCACAAAAATGAGCCTAGTGGGGGTTGAATAGGTGATCTACAAAATGTAGTCAACACTTTTGAAGTGGATTATTACTTGTTGCTCAATTGTTTTTGCATCCAATTGAACAACACAAAGGGTAGTAAACCACATACACTAGACACAAGAGCAACACTAGCAAGAAGAGACTAGAGCAAGAGCTCAACTAAGAGCAACACAACAATTAGAAACTACTCTAATCTACCTTACTCTAGCAACTACAAGAACAACTAAGCTAACTTACTATCAGGCTACAACTACAAGTCTACAACTAGGCTACCATCTACTTCCATTAAGATATGAACTTGGCTAAGTGACCAAAGGACGTTGATGATGATCTCTAAGTAAAGACCTTTGGTTGTTCCTACAAGCACAAGTTCACAAGACTAGCAACCAATGAAAGCACAATGGGGGCAAAGCCCATCATCACAACCTCAAAGAACTCAAAGAGACAAGCAATTTTCCTAGGGTTTAGCCGAACCACTAAGGTTAGCCCATGTCCTAGTTTTATGGTGGTCACAAAGACTAGGATTTTTAATCCTTGCCTCTCCAAGCCTTCACCAAGTTCAAGTTTGCATTTCTACTACCTCTAGGGCAATTACAAGCTTGCCGGAGCCCACCTTAGTGAGATGGTAACGTCATGAACAGCTCCTAAGTCAACAAGGAGCTCCCACATTTCTCTGAAAGCTCCTTCGCTCCTCCTCTAAAGCCTGAACAAGTCCTCCGCTCCTCCACACTCCCTGTTTAGGCGAGTCCAAGGATCGCCGCTCCTCCGCTAGCTCACTAAGCCCTCAATTTTGGTCTACTTCGTAAGGTAGGCTTCGACATGAGCGCTAGCCTATGAGCCGGTCGACCAACAAGGCGCTCCACAAGCCACTCGACCTACTAGAGTTACTCTTCGCCTTCCTCTGACAAGGATGAGCACAAGAACCCTGCACAAATCCTCCTCTAAAGCTACCTCACATTCTTCACACGGTGCTTCACGAAGTCATAGCCACCATGCCATCTAGGAGGTGGCAACCTCCAAGAGGTAACAAGCCAACACGCTTGCAAACTAGCTACTAATGCCACTAGATGCTATCTCTCTCAATCAAATGCACTAGATCACTCTAGTCTCACCACGAACATGATCTCAACATGGCATTGTGAGTGGAGGGCTAGCTTTGGCTTTAATGTGTGTGGATATGATCCTTGGGCACTAGGAATCTCAACTCACCTGGCCACACCTCCTATTATAAGCCCGCAATCCAAACTAGTTGTTACTCCCTCACACGACCTCTATGGGGTGACCATAAAGCTCTGGTGGGGACATCGAAAGCTCCCTTAATAATTAACAGTTTGAAAAACTAGCCATTGCATGTTGCCCACTCCGGTGCAAAGTCTCCGATGAACAACGGAGAACTCTAGCGAGTACACCAAGACACCCCACGAACATTGTAGATGTACCTAAGGCGGAGCCTAAGCTCTAGTGCCCCCGCAAAGGCCACAATCGGAGAAATTCAGTGCCCCCTAGAACATTCTTTAGAAGTTTGTTGCCACCAACAGAATCCTCCGATGACTAGGCATTAGACCTTTTCGGTACCACGTCCTCTGTTTTAAGACGTCGACAGATCAGAACACCTTGGCCACCCATTTTTCTAGCGTTCAACCGCCTGGTAGCACTAGAGTTTTCCGGTGCAGCTATCCATTGTGCATAAGGATGAAAACGGTCGGAAACGGTCGAAAAACTCCTAAATTGTTTTCTACTTTTACATTTGAAATACGAAAACGAAAGCGAAAACGGTAAAGTCGGACACGAAAACGAACGCGAACTTACGAAATATCGAGAATTTCGAAAACGAACCAATTCGAGCGGATTTATGTCGAACACGGTCGATATACGAAAACTCAATACGGAATACCGACCCGTATGACCAAGTGCATGACTAAGTACATACATGATCAAGTTCAAGTGCATATAATAATTAACAAGTGCATGATCCTTGGTCTTAGGTATTTAACACAATAGCCGACACATAAATACAAGTCTAGAACAAGCAATTAGTAGCTAGCAGGATAATAGGAATTAACAAGAACGCAGCTGCGTGGTGAATAGCCTGTAATTGGGCTGTATGACCTGTGCAGTTGGCCAAATTCGGTTTAAACCGAATTTTGAATTCGGAATATTTCAAATTAAAAGTAGAAAAGTAGAAAACGGTCGAAAAATGTCTAAACCGTTTTCTACTTTTACATTTGAAATACGAAACATCTTAAATGCGAAAGCGAAAACGGTAAAGTCGGACAAGAAAATATGGATTCGATCGGATTAAATATAGAAAACGATGCGGTTCGGTTCGGGATATTTCCGTTCCGTTTTCATCCTTAATTGTGCATATGACGTTCAAATTGCATTGGTCGGGGTTAGCAGGGTCCTAAGCTCCAGCCCCCCCCCCCCTCAAGGAGCACTGGACTTATCTGGTAACTATGTAAACAACCCACCTTCGCAAAAATAATATGTAAACAACCCACCAAGCCCCTCTCTCCAAACCTTTTTGAATGTGCTAACTCCAATGATGACTCGAGAAACAACCAACACCTTTAGCACTAAGTTAGCATTTTTCAAAACATTTCACAAAGGTTTTCACTTGCTTTCTTTCCATGCCACTCAATCTAAGGCTTTGGCTTGTTACCGCAGATCGATGCAACTCAACTCTGGTTGCACCAAAAGTCTAGCGAGCAAAACCCGCGCCAGAGTTTTGGCTAGTAGCAGCGTCAAAATGAACTAGCACCGTGTAGGCAAAGTGCGGCTCACCGTAAGTTAGGTCACGAAGCAAACATTGGCTAACCTTAGGCGCGGCGTGCTCTATCGAGTTGTGGCGTGGTGTGGAGACGAACCAAATGCGCCCTAAATGCACTCTTGAGTTAGATCTCGCATAGTGGCACTAGATAACCAATTAGCAAGCACATTTGCCTGTCTTGATATTATGACTATCTATCCTAAACCTAGCCAAGTTCTTCTCTACCACACCTTAGGTCGGTAAAATAAAATACCCAAGAAGTCATACATCTGTCTTGCGCATTTCCATTTCATCTCCATGTTGGTGATGCCCGCAAGCACCTACTCTCCATCTCATCATCTTCCATATGATGATTAATGGCCATGTCCAAGTGAGGCCAATCATGCTAAATGATCATTGTCCATATTGATGTTTGACTAAATTTATAAAAATTAGTATCAACATTTGTATCTCAAAATAGATTTATTATATAAATAAATTACACAAGTAATTGAATGATACTTGTTATAAATATTAATAATTTATACATATATTTGATTAAATTTGAGAATATTTAATTTTTCAAAATACGAGGTGAGTATTGAAGGGACCTTTGAATCTAGGCTGTCGTTGGCTAAAATCCAAACACCCTGTGACTCTCGAGGTAGGTATAAATGTTGCGCATGCACCAACTATCATGCTTCCCAAAGAGTCTGTTTATGCGTCACTACCTTACTTGCCAAAGAGTCTGTCTATGCATCACTCAAGTGTTTATGGCGTCCAGAACATTCGATTTCTTTCCTTCACGGTGGCGCGTCAGGTGAAGAAGCTTGTGCTTGACCCATTTCTCCTTTTCATCAGTTGTGACCCGCTTGTGGTGGAGTTTTCTAGAGGGTCGATCGGGGTTGAGGAACGGAGCATGGGGCTTGCGCCTCCTCCCCGTGCGATTTATTCTGGGGGTGGATTTGGGTCACGCGGCGTGCTACGTGCTTGGAGCATTCGAACTTCGAGGCTTCTATAGGCTGATCCATAACATTGTTCCACTTAGTGTTGATCACACACTAATTTTTTGGCAATTGCCGGTCGAGCTGCGGCTTTCCTCGCGGCGCCATCATGGAGCTTATTGTGGCTTAGCCCTTATTTAGTTCTCCAAAAGTGTACTATGCAAAAAGAAGATTCCTCGTCACATCAAGTTTGTGGTACATGCATGGAGTACTAAATGTAGACGAAATCAAAAACTAATTGCACAGTTTACTTTATCTTTGCGAGACGAATCTTTTGAGCCTAATTAGTCAATATTTGGACAATAATTCACAAATACAAACGAAATGCTACAATGAAGAATCGTGCACACAAACTTTGCCGAACTAAACGCGCCCTTATTTGTTTCGGGCTCGCAGCTTTTGGGATTCTCTTTTGTTTTTGCAATAACTCGTCGGCGACTTACCCCACTACACCGCCATGGATGTGGTTATGTTGTTGCGCGGGTCCACGTGACGGTACTCCTGTACAACTAGTACCACCAGAACTAGTGCAGCTCGAATTTGCCGGCCCCGATCACTTCTGCATGTCCGCCTCCCTCACCGTCAGCAACAAAAATCCGCACATGTACCTGAGCCAGGCCCAGAACCACCTTGGCAACGGAGTAGCGGCGGGGCTCTCAGTTACTGACAAGGCAATCAACGATGTCTGCGACATTGCCGAGGAGCTCGACCCCACGAAGGACTCCCCCGAGATGATCATGTGGCCCATCTCCAAGGTCGTAGTTATGCTTCTCAATCGGACAAAGAAAGTGTGCTTGCTCGAGCATGGATCCGAAACCAAGGGCGTCTGGTCTATGTTTGAGAAAGATATCGAGATGGCATTAGGCGGTTCGCTCAGCAGTGACATGTCGGTGCAGGGGCAAATCCATGGCACTTTCTTCTGAACCGTACGTGCTTCAGCAGATTGCATATTCAGATGTGGAGCTCAAAACAGGTTGGTGCTATACCCTTCTACGGTTTTTCTTCTTGAACTTACACTGCATTGTATGTATGCACCCTTATTCCTTTTTTAATAACTAGAATAATTAGATGCAGCCTTGTGGCTACTGGCTACAGGTCCATGCCTTAATTTGTAGTGGAACTGTAGTTCACCCACAAGCACATGAGCACAAATATGGTCACTTTGTGGAGTTAGGCTAGCTGGTGTGGTTTGGCTCCTCTTATTTAATTTGATTCTATTCTATGTTGTTTGCTACTAAAACATGATTTAATATTTTTTTTGATTAGGTACAACTTTGATGCATACAACTCACACACTCTACGTTCACACTACACGCACACACACGCGTGCGCATCCATACACACGTAAAGAAAGAGACTAGGAGGCTCTCTGGCCTCCAAGCCTCCAGTGCACAGGAAACGTGTAATACCACCGAACGCGCATGCATGTGTGCACCCTGCTTTTCTGAAAAAGAAATTAGAAAAAGGTGTGACACAAGGATTTAAACTATGATGGGTAGCGTCCCACTGGACAACACTACCACTAATCGCAGGCCCTTTCGCAAACATGATTTACTGTGTCCACTGGCACATTAGGGCCGCAATTGATTGCATGTTCAAGGCTAAACCAGGCTCGCCAGATGCAATATACACATGACTGGTTTCCTGGTCTAGGGTGTCGGCCAGGCTTGCTTCACGCAAAAGCCGCCCCCTAGCCTGGCTCGCCCCGTGCGAAAAAACCGTGTTTTGATGTCCACATGCACGGGCAAGTGCGTGGGAGAGCGCTTCCTTAAAGACTGGCTGCATTTCTGTGCATTTGTTTGTACATGCATCAAAGCAAGCTGAGCTAGGTTGTTCCCGCGTGATATATTTCTGTTATGCTATAATGGAAATGGGGTTGCCTCGTGTGGAAAAAAAAAGTTATTTCCTCGCGAGCAACCAAACTTTTTTTTAAATAAGGGTAGGAGCTCTGTCGCTCAATTAAGACGAATGAATTGTAAAAGGGTAGGCAAACGTGGTGCCAACACAGGACACACGAAGGACTGACCCACCCATGCGACGCGAAAGAGCACAAAATAGTCATGAGTCATCCTTGTCGAGCATGATTGCAAAGCAGCCAGCAGCCCCGACTTCCCATGGCAGACCCTAGATGATCCTAACGAAGACAGGCAGACGGGCTAAAGCGAAAGGCCACAACAGGTCATCATTGTCGAGCTCAAACCAAAGAGCAGCTCCGACTTTCGATCTTGATCCTACGCCCCGCCCCCAGCTTTTGTCCGTCCTCCAAAGAAGTCTAGTCGACGAAGGAGAGTTCGCCTCATGCCATCATTGTTGAGCCACATCCCGTGACGTAGCAGCTCCGACTTCACGTTACAAGCCCCCCTCCACACACACCGAGCGTCGAGAAGCGAAGAGCATCAACCGAAGGCGATGTCGTGGCCGAGACAAACTTCAATAGTGACACCTTTAGGAAGGGAATGATGTCAGGGACGCCACCGTCGATCGTCCGAGATGGACCAGGTTTTCTGTAACACCTCTGGTGTTACGAGCTCGCTAAGCACTGAGATTATGGCCTGAGGGATAGATCTATAAACATAGTGAGTTAGTTTACTTAAATACCTATATGTGTTAATGAAAAATCCTAACGCGAAGGGTAGAATAAGTAGTTCTAAACATTGTCACGGAAGAAATTTTTATAAACAAAAATTAAATATAATTTGTATGTAGTACCTGAATAAAGTTTAGAGTGTAAGTGTAGTAGATGGAAATGCAACATTAATTTTTGGAGAATAAATACTATTAGTTAGTAATTTGAGAAGTTCAAAAATCAAACTTGGGATTTAAGAAGGGTCATTTCGTTGCCGGCAAATGCTTGAACTTGTGTTTAAAAGAATAAAAGTATCATTCTTTGGCGAACTATATTGGACAAACTAATTAGGAAGTGCTTAGATATTTTGTTTCTAAGAGTTAGTATGTAGTATGGGCTAGGTCATGGTACAATTGTTAGTTGAATCTGGCAAGGTTTAGACCTTTTAAAAATTCAATCAAAAGTGTTAGGGGAGGTTAGTACTAATCGGACATTGAATTCTTGTAAGTCTGAAATGATAATAGACAATGCTATTTTGACATTTAATTTCTAACAAAAATGTTTAAACACTAGCTGTATGTTTTGGTATTGTCGATTGCATCAAAGTGAGTGCTTGAGCATGGCATAGGTCGACATTGTGTTGGATGTCACGTTGTCCGCTCTAAAATTGCCCTAACTTCACTAGAACGCGCTGCGAACCCTGATTCGGTGCTCGGTTCACGAACCGGCGTTCAGCGTGACGAACCCATGTTGGCACCTCCCTATCTCCCACTCTAGTCGCTCTCTAGACGTGAGGTTTGCTTTGTTAGCTAGGTGTTAGTATCAACTTTGGGTTCATGGAGTTGGTTGAGTCTTCATCGAGTTGGTAAGTAGTTTTTGGCCTGCTTTAATAAGCGTGCGTGACACCGTTTCGTCTGTTTTGCCCCGTGGGTGTGGCAGAACCTCCTAAATTATAGGGTCCACATGCACCTGTCACTTCTCAATGACTTCTGACGACTATGCATATGTTCCCGATAACTTAAGAAGACTGTCGGTTGTCCTCGGAGAACCCTGAATCATCCACGATTTTCGAGCAGGATCCCATTATAGAGTCATTGCAGTATTATAACAGTTTATTCAAATATATACATCAGAGTAAAAATAACGGAAGACTTACAATAACTTAGTTTACAAAACGTTTATTTCAAACCTTACAAACTAAGTTCGATTAATATTACAAATCATAGTAGTGGAGTTATCTTTTTGTGTATAAATAAGAGAACATTGAGTTTCATGATCTCAATACGGCGACATATTTACTCATGCTTTCATATGATCTTCTTGAAGATAAAAATGTTGTACGAAATAAAGAATTTTGTTAGAGAGCTTTTACAAAAAGAACTTTGATTATTGCTAAAGCCCTACTCTTGAGACTTCGAAATGCTGCTCCGAAGTCTTATAGAAATATTTTATTTCAAGGTAAGTCTTGTTGAGTACTTTTGTTCTGTGGTCTGTTAGCCCTTTGTTGTGTGAGTCTCATGAGCAGATCTGTCTCGCTGGACCGTGTCACTTTGTATGACGGTTGTTCAAATCGATGACGATAAGTAAATATGTGGCCATTGGGCAGGGGCACTTTAATTGTGTGTTTTGTATTATGTTACTAAGATACCCCACTACTATGGTTTGTAATATTAATCGAACTTAGTTTGTAAGGTTTGAAATAAACATTTTGTAAACTAAGTTATTGTAAGACTTCCGTTATTTTTACTGTGATGTATATATTTGAATAAACTGTTGTAATACTGCAATGACTCTGTAATGGGATCCTGCTCGGAAAATCATGGATGATTCGAGGTTCTCCGAGGACACCCGACAGTCTTCTTAAGTTATCGGTAACATATGCATAGTCGTCAGAAGTCATTGGACAGTGACAGGTGCATGTGGGCCCTATAATTTAGGAGGTTTTGCCACAGTGGGCACAGTCGCCTCGTGTGCGTGCGAGGCTGGCACCGGGCTCGGCCCCGAGCTGGTCACGGCCTTTCCCTACAAGCCAGTGCCGCCTGCCGAGACGACGACGCGACGGGCCTCTCACCCCGCCTGCCCTCTTGCTAGCCAAGCCGCGCCGAGCCGCTGTGCCGCGCGCAGCGCTGAGGCGAGGCTGCGACTGCCGTCGCTCGGTCATCGTGGCGTTTTCCCCGCCCTCCGATTCACTTCGACCACTGTGGCGCTCGCCCTCCACCACTCAACCCATCTACCATGCTCTTATCTCAACGTTGTTGCGTGGTTGCATGCAGGCGCTAACCGATGCGTCGCTTGCTCGTGTGATCATGTCTCCGCTGTCGCCATCTGTACCCTGCCAAGACCAAGCCGTCCCATCCCGGCACCCCACGACACGTTCCATCTGTGCTGCACCGTGCGGACGCTCTCGCTCATTTAACACAGCCTCGCCCGAGGTTGGTCGGGCCTAGAAGCCGCTGCCCTATTGCCTTGCCGCAGAAGGAGCCGCGCCGCTTCGCAAGCTTTTAATGCGCGGTCCATGATATCCCATCTCGATTCAGTGCCCTAGTGGCTAGGATTGGAAGCTAGCTAGCAAACGAGCCTTGTAGTCGGCCAATTTGTTGTTTTGCTCACCATCGACCATCTCACCTCCAGAACAGAGCACGGTTGGGAGTAAGGCCCTACCCCTCGGTAGGGGTTCAATTGGTGGTTCCTTGGAGTTCGCTTTGGTCCTCTCGTATGGTTGCTCACCCTAGTTTGACCAGGAACGATGCGGGTGAGGTCCTGGCATGTCAGTGCCACGCTCGGGGTACCGCCGCGGGGTGCACATGCACGTGGCCAGACCTGCTTGGGCCACCTCCGCTTCAACCTTCACCTCGGCTAGACTCGTGGTAATCTCCTGTTGCTCCCACCCTTTCCGTTGTCCTCATCATCACTCTAGCTTGTCGGGAAAAGCCTCGCCGCCATGGTGATTGGTCCGCCGCCGTGTGCAACGCGATAGAAGTCACCGTTTAATGCCTAATCACCACCTAGGGTTTCGTCTTGGCTCCGCGGCGCTCGTCGGCTCGCTTGTGGGGCTAGTGTTTCACTCCGTTGGTCAGTGTACGCGCGCTGCACCATCGTGCGTAGGCCGCCGGGGATCATCCCGTGGTAAAGACAGGGTAGTTTAGGGATCTTTCTGCAAAATGGGTCTCTGTCGCAAAAGTGCGCATAGTGCCACGTAATAAATGGATAGATTGGGCACTCTTCTGTAAAATCATCGGCGCGCAAGTGGACTCCCCGCCTTGGGCCATGGTTGGGCCGGACTGCTACGCACGCCCGTGTTCCGCGTGGGCCGTATTGGGCTACCGGGCCAGATTCGGTTACCGCCGGCCTTTTCAA